GAAGCGAATATCGCGTTGCGCATTCCTAATTCCGAATTCGCCTCAATTCGCGTCATTTGGTGTGAACACACTATAACTGATCTTTTCAATCCAAGTGATTGTTCATTATGCTGAAACCAGTTTTACCAACCGGCTAACAAACTTCTGTTTATGTAGGGCGAGTGGAAACCAAAACAGATCGACAACCCCAAATACAAAGGCACCTGGATTCACCCTGAAATCGACAACCCTGAATACACTCCAGAAGACGCTATTTACAAATTTGACAACGTTGGCATTCTGGGACTGGATCTTTGGCAGGTATGGTTTCGATTGTCGTACCGTTAAATCGTAATCAGTCCACCAGGATTACATGTTTTTTTTTGTGTGTGTGTGTAATCTTTGCAGTCAAAATTTCTTTTGATTTTTGGGGTGGAAATTTCCCGAACTTTGTGGACTACTACATTTACCATATTAGGTATGATGTTAAGTGTACAGTAGTCGTACATTCCAGAACAAAAAGAAACAAAATGCAGAAAGCCTGCTTATTTTTGTGTTTTACCAAATTCTGACACACAAGATAATTATTTTCATTTTATTTTTGGTATAAATAAACAAGAACAACAAAGCAATGGAGCATGCAAGTACAGCATTGATTTATTTTTCGCAACTTAATCATTTAACATTAAGAATGTCCTCAACTTTATTTCCTCATTCATGCATGTTTATGTAACACTAACATGTAACTTTACTTTATGTAGTACTGTGCTTTTTGTGATAATTTTGCGGCTAAATGGCGAATTATGCAGGACCGCAATGAGTTGCGCGAATACCACATCAAGTTTTTGTTTTTAGTATGAACAACTTTATGTAGTACTGCGGTTTTTATGATAATTTTGTGGTTAAATGCCCATTGATGCAGGATTGCACAATTTTGTTGATTTTACGTTATGTTTAGCGATCTGTTGACCTTTCTTACAGGTGAAATCTGGAACGATCTTTGATAACTTCCTGATCACTGATGATGTTGAGGAAGCTGAAAAGTTTGGTACAGAAACATGGGGCGCAACAAAGGTAAAAATGTCTGGAGTGTCACTGTTGACAACATATTAGTATTAATAATTTACATTTATTAGATATCTGTGATCAGTTCTTACATTTGTTTCCACGTCATTATTATTTAACTATAAATGCTGATGCCATAATGTTGTTGTTATGTATCAGGGACCAGAAAAGAAAATGAAGGACCAGCAGGAAGAGGAAGAACGGAAGAAGCGTGAAGAGGAGGAAAAGAGCAAGAAGGATGACGATAATGAGGAAGATGATGAGGATGAGCCAGAGCAGGAAGAACACACAGAAGAACCTTCTGAGGAGGAAGACGAGGATGAGGACGATATGATCCCTAAAGATGAGTTGTGAAGAGGAGTTCCCTTCTGAATGAGCAGATCTGATGCATTTCTGACGTCTTTTTCTTTATGTGGTGTGAATTTTTGGCCCCGCCCCTTTCTAGTCACATGTCGCAACCCTTAACTCTGATTTCTTTCGTTTTTGCTGCTAGGTGCCCCCCCCCCCACACACATTCATAGTACGGCCTGATAAACTTTAGATTAATTAATGTTTGGGTTTTCTGTTCTGTCTGGAGCGAGCAAGGGGAAAATTCTAATGTATCATTTGTTGGATTTGCACTTTTTTAAATAAATGATTTATTTTTAAATGCTCGTCCGGCTTGTTTTTCATGGATGCTAAATTGTTCTCATTTTTGGTTGAAAGTAAATGTTACTTGTTCATTTTGTTTTTAATTAATATTTTAAATTAGATTTTATTTGTAAATTTTCTGGTTTTATTTTAATTTTAGTTAAAGCTTTAAATTAGTTTTATTTTATTTCAGTTAACAAAAATTTTGTTTTAACTTTTGTTAACTATAATAACCATTATTTATATATATGTATATATACATTTAGTCATTTTGCAGATGCTTTTATCCAAAGCGACTTACAGTTGGGGAATACATAAAGCGATTCTTCTTAAAGAGGCAAACAGACACAAGAAGTGCTCGTAATACCAAGTTTTAGGCATTGTTCAAATAAGTACAAGCTAGAAAGGGAATAAATAAATAAAGAGAAAGACAAAGTTTTGTTTGTTTTTTTTTTAGGATGAAGTCGAGCAACGTCGAAAGAGATGTGTTTTCAGCTGTCGCTTGAAAATTGTCAGGGATTCAGCATTCCGGATAGGGGTGGGAAGATCGTTCCACCAGCCAGGAACGGTGAACGAGAATGTTCTGGAAAGTGATTTTGAGCCTCTCTGTGATGGTACCACGAGGCGTCACTCACTAGCGGATCTCAGACTTCTGGAGGGGATGTAGATTCGTAGTAGTGAGTGGAAGTAGGCGGGTGCTGAGCCTGTGGCTGTTCTATATGCAACTATCAATGTCTTGAACTTGATGTGAGCCGCAACTGGTAGCCAGTGCAAGGAGATAAAGAGAGGTGTAACATGGGCTCGTTGAAGACCAGTCGTACCGCTGCATTCTGAATCATTTGTAGAGGTTTGATTGTGCTTGATGGAAGTCCAGCCAGAAGAGCATTGCAGTAGTCCAGCCTAGAAATGACAAGGGCCTGGACAAGAAGTTGTGCAGCATGCTCCGTTAGAAAGGGCCTGATCTTTTTGATGTTGTGCAATGCAAACCTGCAAGCAGTCTTTGCAATGTGTCAGCTGGTCATCAAAGGTTACACCAAGATTTCTGACCGAAGTCGATGGGGTAATTGTAGAAGAACCTAGCTGGATGGTGAAATCATGCTGTAGAGTTGGAGTGGCAGGGAAGACAAGAAGCTCAGTCTTTGCCAGGTTGAGCTGTAGGTGATGTTCCTTCATCCATGCGGAGATGTCCGCCAGGCAGCCTGAGATCCGTGCAGCTACCGTTGGATCATCTGGTTAAAATGAGAGATAGAGCTGTGTGTCATCAGCATAACAATGGTAGGAGAAGCCATGTGCCTGTATGATGGGACCCAGTGATGTAGTGTATATGGAGAAGAGGAGCGGTCCAAGAACTGATCCCTGAAGAACCCCAGTGACCAGCTGATGTGCTTTGGATACCTCCCCTCCCCAGGCCACCCTGAAAGACCTAATATATATATGTATACATATAAGGGAGGCACCGATGTATCGGCCGATTTTTCCTCAATTTACAACCATCGGCATATCGGTTAAGGAAAAAGGCCGATATAACAAACCGATGGTTTATTAATTAACTGCGTGAAGGCACTGAGCTGTATAATGTAATCCTAGCGCTGTCTGCACTTTAATGCTAATCAAATAACAAAAGATCGCACACTATTCTTGACTAAATAACTTTTGTAACTTTCATAAGTGTAGCGGACCTCATCTGAATGATGACCAAAACTTTACTGATGTTTTATTAAGTTTATTGCGTCCTTTTTCACTCCAAAAAAAATTACCATAAGAGCTTAAAGGGGTCATATGATGCTTTTTTTTTGCTTAATAAACTGACAAACTTTAAATCCGAAGAACTGCGTGCTTTTATTACCCATATAGCTCCGTCAGGGTTGCCAGGTTTTCACAACAAACCCCGCCCAATTGCTACTCAAAACTAGCCCAATCACGTTTCGAGGGGGTCCCCCGGTAAAAATCGCATTCCGGTGGGGTAAAATACACGTTTTTGGTGGAGTTCCCCTGGTAAAATTTGCATTTTATGGGCTAAATATCACGTTACTGTGGGCGCTTAAACCCGCGGCAACAGTGTTAAAGTAGACCAATTCCGCGGGAAAACCGCTGACTTGGCAACACTGAGCTCCGTAGACCGGAAAACCCGTCAAAATAAGAGTCCCGCCAAAGGAGATCTCATACATATTTAAACTTACAAAAAACATTCAAATTTATACAAAAACAAATTAGAAGATTAATCACAATAAAGTCTGTTACAATAAAGAAGGATTAATATGTATTTAATTTATACAGTGAAGTGTTATTTTACATTTGTTTACTTTATTTCTGTACCTGAAAACTGTTAAACCGACCTAAAAAGCAGTTTATTTAATATGTATCTTTGTTCTGTTGTATTTATGTAGGCCTACTGAATGTATCATTTAATGCAGGTGTTTTTGAACTTTGCTGATTTAAAACATGATTAAAATACTATCTATTTTGATGCCAAAATTTCAAATAAGAGAGGAAGTGATGATTTGGGGTGCCATGTCATCTGCTGGTGTTGGTCCACTGTGTTTTCTGAAGTCTGTGTGCACTGAATTTATTCTAATGAATTTAATAAATATGTTTCACAATTTGAGTTGAATTACTGAAATAAATGAACTTTTCCACGACATTCTAATTTATTGAGATGCACCTGTAGATATAAATTGCTCAATATAAGGTAATAAAAACATAACGGTTCATTAAGTAAGGTCTTATACACCTCTAAAAACATAGTTATGTATATTATATTGCATTTCTGTCAATAGATCGATGTAAATATTACACATTGCACCTTTAAAGTAAGGTTTTGGGGTTTTTTGCTGATCCGATCCGTGACTCAAAATCATAAATAATCATTTAAATACACAGCGTAATGTAAAAACATTCAAGGAGCCATTTTGTTGTCAAGTGACAAAAACAAACATAAACAAGGGTCCCCCTTGTAGACTCAAAATGAGCAACAAAATCAGAAAATTTAACTTTTTTTTTTTTTCCTTGACAAGACAAGGTTAGTTGAAGTTATTAAATGGTAAAACACCAAGCATGGGGATGAACACAGAAACTAGCCTCATTAAATGGATGTCAACTTTTTTATATTTCTTAAGCCTGGAATACACAACACGATTTTTGCCACAATAGTTGCCAACGGTCAGAGCCAGTCTGCATATTTGAGTTGACTGATTTCATAGAAAAAGCTTAATAGGTACGTTTAGCTATATATTTTATATTTAATAACTGTCCAATTTAAATGTTTGCATGCACCATATCCTTCTTTGGTTTTAATAAGATGCTTTTTGATTTATAAAATTGCGTTTGTTTTTCTCCATAAAACACAGGCAAAATTTTGAATGACGATATACCTCTAAAAGAATACAAGATAGATGAGAAGAACTTTGTCGTGGTGATGGTTACAAAGGTACGGCTTTTTTATTTTCCTCACAATTCTCTCATTGCCTTCTTCATAAGCTCATTTATGCATGTTTCAATCCCACTAATGCCCTTAAAAATATATTTTCTTTCCATACATTTTCTTTCAAATTGTGGTATGCCGCATTAAAAACGTTGGATGGAAATACCAAGATGTGCATAAAATCTTAAAATGCACATAAATTAACGTATGCACATAAAACAATTCAAAATACATTTGAGACGGATCTTTTTTTTTTTATCTGATAAGAAAATGTTTGCATAAACTACATTGGAATCACATTTAGGGGGTGTATACACTAAAAACTTAAATCTTTTGACTCCGTTGTCGTCTGTATGCAAAACTTGTCAAAAACACAAAGGAAAAACTTTTCTGTTTTTTGTACAATCGTTGTAGTGTAAACGTACCCTAACTGAATAAATTCCACGATGTGCAACAAAAAACTGATTTGGTATAATTACTTCCCAGGACAGTCTCACAAGATTGCGTTCACAAACATCAGACATACAAATGCAAGATAACATGGCTGCGATTGTTATTGCATTTCATCTGCGCACAAGTTTATTTTGTAGGAAAAAGAGCCGAAGTACTTTCGCCAGTTGCGGCAACTTCCATTTTTATTTATACTTTGCGCCAGTTTCCCAGGAAGTGACGTTTTGTTCTCTCGAACACGTTTCTTTATGCACATATGTTAGGGCTTTATTCACATATGTTAGGGCATCGCATTTCGTGGATCGATTCTGAGATTTTCGGAATGCATCGTGATTCTCTCTCGAATCGATTCTGAGCTTAGTTTTTAACAGCAGATGGTGCTCTAGGCTAGTTTTTAACCGCACACTCAAACGCTCACGAAGAAGAGCGCTTGTGCGTAAAACTGAGTAATGTAAGTGGTTAAATGTACGTGCACATCGGCTTTTATGCTTTTATGATGCAAGATTAATGTGAACACAGCCCACTGTGAACATCCTTGTAATTCGCTTCAACCTTTTCGAACTTTATGAATGATTATTTTAGGTTCAAGTGGTGCGTGTAAGGAACTGGAAGCAAGCAGAATATGGCTATTTCTAAAGCACGCAGTGCCATCTGCTGTTAAAAACTAAGCTCAGAATCGATTCTAGAGAGAATCGCGATGCATTCTGATAATCTCCGAATCGATGCAGAATCATTTCTCGATTTGCGATGTGTCGATTTATTGTCCCAGCCCTAGCATGTTTTTTTGCTAAATTTCAATATTTCGCACAAGTTGAATTCGCAACTTTGGATAGAAACAGTGTTAAAGTTCATTGGCAGGTTTCTATAGTTCTCTGTGCAGTTGTGTTTCTCTTTCAACAGCCCAAATCTGCAGCACCGCCACAAGCTCCTGCTCCCGCACCGGCAGCCGCCGCTACGGTTAGCGCGACTGTCGCCGAAACCGCTACACATCCACCCTCACCTCCTGCTGCACCTCCTGCTGCCTCCACAATGCCTGTACCGACCCCTCCTCCCGCTCCCGTAGAATCAGCAGCGTCAGCGGAGCTGCCCGTGACGCCCGTCACAGCGCCCCCTGCTGCCTCGGAGACTGCTGCAGAAAAGCCTGAGCCTGTTAGCGCCACTCCCACTCTGATTTCAGAAGAGGAGAACCAAGCAGCCCAAGAGGAGCAGGCTGTCGCCCAATCAGAGGCCAGGTACAGCCACGCCCACAAAAACAAACTTTTTAATTGCTTAAAGGAGACATATTATGCCCCTTTTTACAATATGTAATATAAGTCTCTGGTGTCCCCAGAATGTGTCTGTAAAGTTTCAACTCAAAATACTCCACAGATCATTTATTATATCATTTTGAAAATGCCTATTTTGAGTGGAAGCAGAAACACGCTGTTTTTCGGAATCATGCGTTTTAAGCCATATGAGTTTAAACTTCTGATATATGGTTCTCTGAGCGCACACATCCGAAGCACACGCACAGAAAGCGGCTGTCACAGCATGCGAGTACTAAACTAAGTTCTCATTCACACACAAGTTTACCTTAAAAACACACATGAGTTACAAAAACAGTGGGTTATGTCTGTGAAGGTAAACAGCTGGGAAATAAATCACATGTTTATTTTAGATCTGTGTGGCAGCAGCAATATACAGTAAATAACTCAATAAATGCACTGCTCTCTTGTCTACTCTGAGGCTGGGACTCTAAACAGTGTTCTGTGCTCGTCTGTGCAGCCAAACACAGAACAGTTAGTGTGTTTTGCTCAAACTTTCACCATGGCATTAGAACTAATACACCGTTGTCGCTTGCAAAATCGAAATGACGGCGCCGTGGGTGTAAACTTACAGATTAAAGGGTAATATTATAATGAGATCCCTTTGCTACGTCGCCAAGGGAGCGAAATCAGACGCGCTTGTTTTCTCAGATGCTTTCAGAAAAAGGCTTACCAAAACAAAGTTACTGGTTTAATCTTTTTCACGTTTACTTGGTTGGTAGATGCACTGGAGACCTGATTATAGCACTTAAAACCTGGAAAAGAATGAAAAATCCTCAATTTGTTACTTAGGAAATTTAGGACTCAAAAGTTTACTCGAAATTGAAAACTTTCTTCATTATGAATTTCAAAGTCTGTGAAGTGATGTTTTTGTGTGTTAGTTTTTTTGGATTATTGGTCAATTGCTAAAACAAAAAAGGAAGTGTGAGAAACCCATTTGAACCTTCAGAAGGGTTTGAGACTGAAATAAGAAAAAATAGACATTTAAAAAAACCTTATAAAAATGACAAAAACACAACAAAATTACTATTACTAAGACTACAATTTAAATAACAAAAAATAAAAAAATTATTCAAAATATTAATACAAACTTTAATATTATTTCAATTAAATTTGAATTAAACAAAAATAACACTAATTTACACTAAGTACAAATAATAATATTTATGCTTAGTGTATTTTAGGGTTGTGACGGTGAGTAAATTTTCCCACCGGTTAATCGACGTGTGACAACACCGGTAATACCGGTATCACCGCGTATTTATTTTTCTCGCTTTCCTTCGTTTATAAATAGCTTAAAAGCACCGTGCATATTTTACTTTCACTTTCAAATTAGCGGCAGTTCGGCGTCAATTGCTTGAATGCAACAACAAAATACAACGCCAAACTCACTTTAGCCTATGTATAAAACATAGAACTTTTATTAACAAAACAAATAAAAACACACCATGCTATAGGGCAGGCTATGCCTAATATAAAATAACAAATAACTTGCATAAAGTTGAATAGGTATACAAAACTGGAAATAAATAAACATGTTATATATTTAAAACCAAATAAATAAGAAACGTATATTATTTTCAAATAGTTGTATCTCAGCCAAATATTCCTATAATATGTCCTATCCCAACAAACCATACATCGATGGAAAGCTTATTTCTTCAGCTTTCATATGATGTATAAATCTCAATTTTGAAAAATTGACACTTAAGACTGGTTTTGTGGTCCAGGGTCACAGATGCATAATTATTATATTTATAATGTTGATTTTTGGCGAATTTCGTGAGGGTCAACACATACAGCATAAACAAAAAGTAAACACTTCTAAAACGTTGACATTATTTTGACTTTCTCATTTGGAGGCACAATCACTTTCCCTCGATGTCGGTCTACCGCTGCCCCGGTCCAGGCTCCTCTACAGCTTTTTCTATCCTGTGAACAGGTGCGGAGTCGGGAGCAGCGCAGGCCTCGGCAAACCCGCTGGAGTTCCTGAGGAGCCAGCCACAGTTCCAGCAGATGCGTCAGATCATCCAGCAGAACCCGGCGCTCCTGCCGGCGCTCCTGCAGCAGCTGGGCCGCGACAACCCGCAGCTCCTGCAGGTGGGTGGAGCTCAGCACTGAGCCGCTGCGGTCGGACGCGCGCCGCTGAATGTGCGTTTATTTTTCTGTGCAGCAAATCACGCAGCATCAGGAGCGGTTTGTGCAGATGTTGAACGAGCCACACGAAGGCGAAGGCGAGGCTGGAGCCGCTGAAGCTCCCAGCGCACCACAGACCAACTACATCCAGGTCACGCCGCAGGAGAAGGAGGCCATCGAGAGGGTATGCTAACAATGCTTAAAGATGAAGTGTAATTTCTGACAACATACAGGAAAATGTCAAATTTAGTTATACTAGTTATCCATTTGGTCACACTAGTATCACAGAGATTACACAAAAAATTTGAAAAAAATGTAATCGTTCCTTTTATTTCAGTTAATGTTAAGCCCATTTTTAAAGCTGCAAATGTGTTTTAAATTAAAATAAAATACTAATAAACCTATGCACTTTTACTTAAAGTCAGCATGAAATTACATTTGCAATAATAAGCAATGATAAGTAAATTATTGTATATAAATAAAATGAAATAATAAAATATAAAAAAGATTTAATTCAATTAACATTTCTCATTGTTTAGTTTAACTTGAAATAGTAAAATAATAAAAACTAAATCAACTAAACCTAATAAATAAAAAGTAATTAAACTACATAGACGTGTTTTAAAAATGGAAAAAGCATTACTAAAACTTTAACAGAAAGTGAAAATATATAAAAAAAACTATAATATAAAAAAATATTTAAAAACTCATTCAAAATATTAACTAAAATTATAATAGTATATATATGATAAAATGATCAAATAAAATAATTGCTAGAAGTATTAATAATTATATATATATACTTATTTATTAAATTGTTAATATAATTATTAAAACATTTTATTTGTGAATTGACAATAATTGATCAATTATAATTTTGTTTATTAATTATTATTATATTGAAATGTATTATAGTTAAAGTAACTACATATGCTATTTTAATTTAATGCTTATATATATATATATATATATATATATATAGCATAAATAACACTTGTAATGATAATAATAACAAATACTAAATTTCAGGGTCAACAAAAATGTTGTTACTTGAAATAAAATAAACTTTAACTAAAATAAAATACAATATTAAACAAAAAACGTTTATTTCCAGCTAGCTGCTGAGGCAACATTTTTTATATTTTAATTGATTAAAAATGATTAAACAGTCATTTCACACAACATGTTTTAACATTTTATAAAATTGTGTTGTGTTTTCTAGTTAAAAGCTCTGGGGTTTCCAGAGGGACTCGTCATCCAAGCCTACTTCGCCTGCGAGAAAAACGAGAACCTCGCCGCGAACTTCCTGCTCCAGCAGAACTTTGATGATGAGTGAACGTTAACCGTTTAGACGCGACGACACTCGGAGGACGGCGACGGAGACAATGCAAGCGCTTGGCCACATGTTGCGCGTGTGTTTGTGAATGTGTGCGTTAAAGCGAATAGGACGTCGACTGGTCTTCCATGATTATTTTCATGGAGTTTAAACTGAAGCCATGATGTGACGTTCTATCAGCACAGCTTATGTTTTTTTTTCGATTTATATATAGCCGATCCTCCTCGACGAGGTGTCTGTTGTCTGTCTGGTTTCTGCTGCTATCTCTGCTGTGTGCGTCGAGTGAAGTTTTATTTATCACAGTTAAAAACCTGCCAAAAAAGGTCATTGTTAATTTCTCGCCATTGTTTTTCAGTATTAATAATGAGACGTTTCAGTCAAGATGGATGCCAAATTGAATTTGTCGCCAATGAAAACAAGCCTTTGATGGATAGACGTACGTATTTTCAACAAGTTGTACCATTTTTGTTGCTGGAAGATTTTTGGATATTTTGGAGTCACAGTTGCGTCAAATTAAATATGGCGTCTACTTCCACCATGTTACATAATTTTTAGTGTTTACTTTTCTTTCAATGCGATCCTCTACTGTGTAAAATACAAAGTTTATGCAGTGGACGTCACCAAACTACTACTTTTGAACTCATCTGTTCCCCTACGTTAAACCATTAATATTATAAATAAACCAAATGTTTTGCACTGCATGGGTATTTTGGTATCTTTAAACCCATGTTCAAAATAAGAACTGTCGAGAACATCTACAATTATGAGTTCTTGGTACAAAACAGCATTGATCGTTGAGATGTCACGATCTAGTTGGCTGCCTAACTAGATTTTATTTCCAAGTTTATTTCTGTTATGAAGTACGGTAATTTCACCCAAAATTAAAATTCTGTCATCATTTACTCTCCCTCCACGTCTTTCTTCTGTTGAACACAAAAGGAGATATTTTGAAGAATGTTGGTAACCAAACAGTTGACGGTAGCCATTGACTTCCATAGTATGGGAAAAAATACTATCAAAGTCAATGGCTACCATCAACTGTTCGGATACCAACATTCTTTTTCATTTCATTCTTAATTTTCGTTTATGGTGAACTGTCACATTTTTTTGGTGAACTATCACTTTTAACTTTAAAGTTCCCGCTATAACCAGTTCAGTATGGAGTAGAAACTAAATGAGCAGTGGTTTTGAATGGAGCCGAAATGCTGCAACAATTGTAGGTATTTAATGTGGTGAAGCATCTGAATGTGGTCGAGTGTCTCAGCGGGTCTCGAAAACATCATAAAAATATGCATTGTCATTTGAATATTTGTACATATTCGAGTGTAGGAGAAAACCGTGTTGTCTTGGCCTCTGTTGCACACTTAAGACAGTGCCAAACATAATTAGAAACTGGAAATAGATGAAATCACAGAGCTAGATGCAATGCTTGAAGTGGATGCAGAATGCATATATTTTTTATATAAATGTTGCATCCTGCTCCTATAGTTTTGAGTTAAAAATGCTGGAAGGGTATTTTTATCGAGTACGTTGAAAAATCTATAGGTGTTCTGACAGGTACAGGCAAGACTAAGCGCCCTGTTTACACTAGGTGATACAGTTTTGGATTTTTATTTCAGCATTTTATATAGTTTTTTTCGTCTTGGGGGATTTGATGTGTGGAGAAAGTAAACATGGAGGAGTTTGGTCTTAAATGCATCAGCACAAAAAGGTTTGCTGAGTGGTTTATGAATGTATTGTTTCAGTGGTGTGTGAAATAAATTGCTTTTAAAAAGCTTCATTGAAGTCTCCAAATACTGGATGCTGCTTCAGCTGTCCGGTTTCATTCATTAGTAGTGGATCCATAATCAGACGGCCCATATGCTTCTACAACCCCAAAAAGTGTGCTTTCAAAAAATACTATGGTATTAAAGGGTTAGTTCACCCCAAAATGAAAATTCTGTCATTAATTACTCACCCTCATGTCGTTCCAAACCCATAAGACCTTCGTTCATCTTCGGAACACAAATTAAGATATTTTTGATGAAATGTGAGAGCTCTCAGACCCTGCATAGACAGCAAGGCAACTGAAACGTTCCCAGGTCCAGAAACGTGGTAAGGACATCGATAAAGCAGTCCGTGTGACATCAGTGGCTCAACTTCAATTTTGCGAAGCTACGAGAATACTTTTTGAGCCCAAAGAAAACAAAAATAACAATTTATTTAACAATTCTTCTCCCCCGAGTTATGTCTTCCGCCATTTTGGAGAGTACCCAAGAGCGTAATCGACGTAATCAGGGTTGTTTACGTTCGGGGGAGAAATCAACGTTGTTTATGCTTAGGGCAGGGGTAGGCAAGTTCGGTCCTAGAGAGCCGCAGTCCTGCAGAGTTCAGCTCCAACCCTAATCAAACACACCTGAACAAGCTAATCAATGTCTTCAGGATTACTAAGGCTATAGGCAGGTGAGTTTTGTTTTCAGGGTTGGAGCTGAACTCTGCAGGACAGCGGCTCTCTAAGACCAAACTTGCCTACCCCTGGCTTAGGGGAAAGCGTGCGTATGCATTGTGATACTCTCTAAAATGGCGAAAGACATAACTCGGGGAGAAGAATTGTTAAATAAATTGTTATTTTTGTTTTAAGGACTGCTTTATCGATGTCCTTACTACGTTTCTGAATCTGGGAACATTTCAGTTGCGTTGCTGTCTATGCAGGGTCTGAGAGCTCTCACATTTCATCAGAAATATCTTAATTTGTGTCCTGAAGATGAACGAAGGTCTTACGGGTTTGGAACGACATGAGGGTGAGTAATTAATGACAGAATTTAAATTTTTGGGGTGAACTAACCCTTTAAGAGATTCCCATATATATTCCACAGTATTTACATTGTGCTTGAATTGTAATTACCATAATAACCATGATAACCTAGTTTTTAAAAAATATTGATAGTAGTTCCTGTTAATGTTGCGAGAACTCAAGTGTAAGTATCCCTGTCTGTCACGTGGGAGACCGGGGTTCGATTCCCCGATGGGGAGGATGGCAATCTTTTGAAAACTCATTTCATTTTCAATGGGTTTAAGACAATTACATCTTTTATGACTAGAGCTTAAGAACAGAAAAAGCTTTAGTTAAGGTTAGGTGGAGAATCAGGATGCTCTTCCACCTGACATCAGTGTCACTTCTGATGATTTGCTCCAGGTGGACGAGGAGTTGTTCGTGGACTGTGAGCTTTTGGCCCAGCTAAATCCATACTTCCAAACCTCATTTTTCGGAAGTGGACAGAACATTGAGATTAAGGGAGTTGGTCTTCAAGCACAAAATCATGCCCTTGTTTCAATAGTTGCAACGCTCTAGACCAGGGCTGCCCAAACTCTGTCCTGGAGGGCCGGTGTCCTGAAGAGTTTAGCTCCAACCCCAATTAAACACACCTGAACCAGCTAATCAAGCTTTTACTAGGCATACTAGAAACTTAAAGGCAGGTGTGTTGAGGCAAGTTGGAGCTAAACTCTGCAGGACACCGGCCCTCCAGCACCGAGTTTGGGCAGCCCTGCTCTAAACATGGAGTGATATTTCAAGATAAAAAAAACTTTTTGTTCTGAGATGCACACAGAACTTAAACTTAGATGCTTCAAAAAAAGCCCCATATTAAAACTACTGCAAGAGGGTGAGAACGTATTTAACAGCATTTAACCATAATCATTTGCATTGTGAACAGCCAACCAGAACTATTTACACAGTATTGTGGTGTTATACCCGAAAGTCAAACATTTGAACTTCAAATTTCATTATATGACAAGATCATACCACAAACCCCCAAAAATAATATACACTATATATGGGTTAGACATGCTCTGTCGTCCAACATCTACCCCTTGTGGTTTGTTGTGGTATCAACTTGGACAAAACAAGAAAGGGACCAGAGCATTGGAGCTGAGAAAGATTTAGTTGAGGAGGATCAGGATGCTGTCAATGTTGCTCCTGACACAGTGCTCCAGGTGGAAGGAGAGTTGTTCTCTGTGAACCGTGAACATTTGGCCCAGATGAGTCCCTACTTCTGAGTCTTCTTTTTTGGCGGTGGTAGGGAAAGCACCAAGAAACACATTGAAATTAAGGGTGTTGGACCGCAGCAGTTCCATGCACTAATGGAGTTCACAAAACATTTCCAAAAACCAATTCCAGTCAATGTTATGTGAACCCAGGTGTAAGTTCACAAGGCATCTACTGGCCACATTTTCAGCTCACTCCTCGTTAGTATAGTGGTCAGTATCCCCGCCTGTCACGCGGGAGACCGGGGTTCAATTCCCCGACGGGGAGGAAGGCAATTGACACAGTGCTCCAGGTGGAAGGAGAGTTGTTCTCTGTGAACCGTGAACATTTGGCCCAGATGAGTCCCTACTTCTGAGTCTTCTTTTTTGGCGGTGGTAGGGAAAGCACCAGGAAACACATTGAAATTAAGGGTGTTGGACCGCAGCAGTTCCATGCACTAATGGGAGTTCACAAAACATTTCCAAAAACCAATTCCAGTCAATGTTATGTGAACCCAGGTGTAAGTTCACAAGGCATCTACTGGCCACATTTTCAGCTCACTCCTCGTTAGTATAGTGGTCAGTATCCCCGCCTGTCACGCGGGAGACCGGGGTTCAATTCCCCGACGGGGAGGAAGGCAATCTTTTGAAAGCCCATTTCATTTTTGATGAGTTTGAGACAATTAAGGACTTTTATTAAGCGAGAAAAAAAAGCTTAGAAAGATTTCAACAATCCTAGAAAGATACGCCCTAAATATTTACAAAAGCCTTTGTGTGCTTTGTGAAATTGGGTCTCTCTAGCACTTTAACTGAGATATATTTAGCTATTTGCTTGCAGACCCCATTCCCATGGAGAGTGAGTGACAAGCTAGAGCAAGGATATAATTGTCACATGACGCACTTCAGCAGAGAAGTGAGTGTTGGGAGGGGGAGTGCACAATCATGGCTTGTGCAAAGCAAGACAGAGGTACCTATGACCAGAACTTAGGAGCTGAGAAAGATTTAGTTGAAGAGGATCAGGATCCTGTCAATGTAGCTCCTGACACAGTGCTCCAGGTGGAGGGGGAGTTGTTTTTTGTGAACCGTGAGCATTTGGCCCAGCTGAGTCCTTACTTCCGAGCCTTGTTTTTTGGCGGTGGTCGTGAGAGCACCAGAAAGCACATTGAGATTAAAGGAGTTGGACTGCAGCAGTTTCAGACTCTAATGGAGTTCACAAAGAACTTGAAGCTGAAATTAGACTGCAAGAATGTCCTTGAAATTCTGGAGGCTGCTGACTTCCTCCAGTTGGACAGGGCTCGGTTACTCTGCTGTAAGTTCTTGGAAAGGCAATTGCATCTTAGTAACTGCTTGGGAATGATGGCATATGCTTGGCAGCTTGGCTGTCTGGACCTCTACGCAGCAGCAAGGGATGTCGTCTTGACCCACCTACCTGCCTTAGCCTCCGAGCAAGACTTTATGTTCCTTCCGAAGGAGAGCATTGCTGACCTCCTTGCTAGTGACAACTTAAGCATTCCCAAGGAAGACCTGGCTCTTGACGTGGCCCTTCGCTGGGCAACGTTTGACCCACGTCGGGAAGAGGACTTCATGGAACTGGTGGGTCTGGTTAGACCCGAGTGCTTAAGTCTTCCCTACATTACTGACCTTCTGTCCAAGATAAACAGTTCAGACCCACGTGCCAAGCTCATTTGTAGACTGAACGATAACTTGCCCAGCAGTTGGACTATGGGCAGGTCCATGCCTAGAGCCCGCTCAAGAGAAACTCTGTTTGTTCTTGGTGGACCGCATGAGCAAGAAACACAGTTGCTGTATCAGTTTCACCCCTACAGTGGAAGGTGGCAATCCCATCCACCCTTGCAAAAGAAGTGTCTCACACAGTACTCTGTGGCTGCAGTAGGTAACGACCTCAGCTGATCCTATACATTTTAACCTGCCACAAGTTGTTAGCATAATGATCTACCTGGATCATGCTTGTTCAGGTGTTGCATGCCCTTTCCAAAATGAAACTTTTAAGTCAGGAGTGCCGAATCCTGTTTCTGGAGATCTACCTTCAGTGCTCCAATATATCTGTTTTGTAACTATCACATGTTTCTGAAGATCTTAATGAGCTAGTTCAGGTGTGTTTGATAAGGATTGGAGGAGTGTTAATTTTGACAGCAAATTTTGATTTAGTTTTAGTCATAGTCTTTTAGAAACTCTACAGTAAATTCAGTCGGCTAATATCTAATGGGTTTAGTTACAGTGCATTTATTAAGCATTTCTCTAAAATTTCCAAACTCGTATAGGTTTGATATTAAGGTTTTATCATGATAGACAACGATTTAACTGCGGTGACACACAACATGCCTTTAGGTTAAAATTAAATAAAACCACCTCTCATAAAGAACAAGAACATGGTCTTATTTTTAATGAAATGCCAATGGTTATAAAGGGTAATTATGCATTCTTTATAGCAACTTGTTTACCATATTCTTCATTCTTTCAAGCAGACATATTTATTTCTATAAATAAATTTAGATTAATCTTTAGGACTACTAAAGTTTTTCAGTCAAGAGCAGTGAGTGATTTTCTGTCTTTATTTTGTTGCTTAATTAACATCAATGACTCGGACAATAGCAACTAAATTAGGCTGCTATCCCTTTAAAACCGAATGCACAGATGCAATGGATGCAATGTACAGATACACGTTCTTCCTAATGTTTACGTTCACTTTAGACGTAATCAACTGTGTTTACGTGAATACTCGTCAAAACGGACAATTCAACATAATTTTGTGTGTAATTCTCCGTTCATGCGATGTGAAAGAGTACTCACGTGCTCTTGCGTCGTCAGATTTATCCGTATGTCTGCTCTTCTCTTACTCCCACATATTGACATTTTTTAACGTTTTATGCGACGTGCAGCAAGTGTATGTTAGCTTATGTCCCGCCGGTTCATATATACGCATCTTACCTCCGAACCACGCAGCAGATTCGTTCTGAATGAATCTCTTCCCAAATCGTCCCTCCCTAACATTTTCGTCTCGTTTTTATTCGTTGACGAAAATGTCAATAGATTTACGTCATAGTTTTTGTCATTCAAAAACAGTTTTAGGTCGTAATCGTCTCGTTGTCGTCAGTGAAAAAAATTTCGTTGACGAAAATTATTCGTCAAAGAAATTAACACTGGATTGGAGCTGAACTTTGCATGAAAGTAGATCTCCAGAATCAGAATTGGGCATTTCGATTTCATTGTCTTGCTGTCCACACCATCTAAAATATTATTTCTTGCTCTAAGGGGAAAACATAGTAGTGACTGGAGGCTACTTCCGGGACGTGTTATGGTATAGTGTGGACTGGGTGAGCATTTACGAGCATGGTGACAAGCGATGGGTGGACGGCCCGGCAATGCAGAAGTCCAGGCACAGCCACTGCTCATCAGCTCTGGAGTTCCAGCTGTTTGTGTTTGGCGGTAGCATGGACGAAGGACCTGTGGTTGACGTAGAGAGGCTGGTTTTGGGAGCCAAGGAATGGGACACCGTCAGCCCCATGGTGCGGGCTGTGGAAAGGGCGGCCACTGTCACTTTGGGGACTAGTATTTATGTGGCCTGTGGTCTAGATGAGAATGGGGATGTTTACAGTGGGATTCAGAGGTACAGGCCAGAGGTTGATCAATGGGACGTGGTATCCTATTCTCCGTTTCCACGGTGAGTAAACGCAATTGTGTCCAACTTGTTATGAACCAGGCTTGATCAACTCTGGCCCTCAAGGTTCACTGCCCTGCAGATTTTAGCATAGATTGTAGGCAGGTGTGATTGGCTCTTGAGTTTAGCTCCAACCCTAATTAGAGTTGCCCACCTTTACAAGGCAATTCTCTCCACAGATGCCACCACAAATAGTCTTGTATCAGTTTTGCACACTTTGGTAAACCCAAGTAACATCTTGTTGGATACATGTGTACTTATTTTCCAGTTACGACCTTCTTGCAACTGAGCTCAATGGTGCCCTCTATCTGCTGGGAGGACAGGCTCTACGTTTAGACATCGACACAGACGAGTGGACCGTTCTTCAAGAGGACTGTCTGGACAACAAATTCTTCACAGGCTGTGCCACAGTGAACGGGCAGATTTACATACTGAGTGAGAGGAAGATAAACAAAACGTACCCAAACATGATTTTACTAGACCCTTACACTGACACCTGCTTGGAAATTGATGATAAAATACCCTGTCCTGTCCCCATAAGAAGTTGTGTCACAATGCATGTCGGTCCTTTCTAAAGCCATAATGTCAACACTATCCTTTCATGCAAAGTATTAAACCAATGCAAAAACATTTTGTTGAGCTAAGTTGAGGATAATTATATTCTAAAACATTTTTATTGTTTAGCGGACGAGAAGCAAGAATGCATTATTAACAGTACTGAAGATTATAAGAATATATTCCTCTTCTGTCATTGTAACAAGATATATAACAACTACAAAATGTTGCATTAACAAACTCAGAACACGGTAAATCCCAATAAAAAGAGGAAAATTCATACAAAAACAATCGCAGGTCTTTCATACGTTAAACAGTGTAAGACAGACACACAGCTTTTGAATTAAAGGTCAGTTATGGCTACTGTGCAAATAAACTTTCCAGCTCCATCTAGAACAACAAAAACACTTTGCCTTTTGCCCTTGGAGCAGATTCAATATTCAAGAAATCAAGGGGCCTACATAGGCGTCCTCAAATTCAACTACCCCATTTTACTTTTAAGATTTCGAGGCACATGCTCCAGTGAGAAATCATCTGATTCCTCATTTGGTAAGGCAATGCGCAACAAAAAATGCCATCTTATAAAACACAACAAGCTCCAGTGTTTCCTTGCAACAAAATCTTTCATTAGCAGAATCACAAAGACAAGTGGACATTTCACCACTAGATGGCGCCCTAAGTTTTTCCTAAAGGTCCACCAATGCCCATTTTGAAACCAATAGCCACTGCAGAAAATTCATCATTTCCACACAACTATCTCTTCTTTTTTTTCTACAGAGGATTTCAAAAGATTGCATCTAAATGTTGTGGGTCTCTCTAGTCAGGATTGCTGACATATTATTTTTTACATATCACTGTTCCATAATGAACATTTGCAGTAATGAGTAAACTAACTTAAACAACACTTCAACAATTAATACTAAAAATCTCAGTTTATGAACAATTTTTATGTACGTTAATAATTCATTTTGAGTTAAAGTGCTACTCAACCAATGCACTATAATTAATTAGACTAACTTTAAACAAATTAAAGTTTAACCTATTTAAAGGGATAGTTCACCAAAAAATGAAAATGGGATGTTTATCTGCTTACCCCCAGAGCATCCAAGATGTAGGTGACTTTGTTTCTTCAGTAGAACACATATGATGATTTTTAACTTTAACCGTTGCAGTCTATCAGTCGTATAATGCATGGCAATGGTAACAAAATCTATGAGTGTAAAAAAAACATGCACAGACAAATCCAAATTAAACCCCCACGAGGCGAGTTACCAGGAATACAGCGGCGAAAATGACAAACAATGCATCGCAGGTCTTTCTCCATCCAGCATAATTGAACATCTTGGCAGACTGCAAATCAAGCAAAAACAAAACATTAGTTATTTCTTTAGATATCTTTATTATTTCTTTATATATTGACTTGTATATGTCAAAGTCATTTATGTGCTTTATTCTGTTTCAATAAGAGGAACTTGCTACGTATTTTCTGGTATTTATTTACCCCTGAAGCAAAAAAGAACATGAGACAACTTCTAAAATAAATTCCACAAGAAACTCTCAGAATCGTGTTTTTCAGTATGTATGTGTTAAAAACGTCCGCAATGAAGTCTGATTACCTGATGTGGACTTTGCGGATGAACAAAGATAGCAAACAGGACCATAAAATTGTTGTTTTATTAGTATTAAAACATATTTATTAAAGGAATAATCACTATTTTTTCCCATGTTTTAATTTTAACAGTAATCCTCTGCTGTGCAGCACTTTGTTTGCCAAAAAAAGGTTTAAATTTAATTTGATTAAAGGATAAATGAAATTAATATGTTATGCCATCATTCACCAGAAAAATAAACAATAAGTAAACCATTACAATTTTATAAAACTATTTTTTTAAATGGAAAACACATAATTTGATAAAAAATGAACAGAATTTGAGAAAAACAATAAAACGTATTTCATAGGGCCCTAAAAATGTACATTTTGTTAAACTGTTAATAAATTGTTTCTTAAATTATATGTCATGCTTTTTCATAACTAAAATGTATTCATTTGTTCGGTGATTTAATTATTATTCAGATTGAATGATTTAAACAAATTTAATTAGCTATTTAGGTATAAAGTTAATTAATTTAAATATTTATGTGATCACTTAATTTAACATTTAATATACAACATATTACTACTATATACTATTTGGCTACTTTTTATTATTATTATATTTTTATATGATAATCTTTTAAAAAATATACATTTATCTTGAAAAATATAAATGCATTTCTTGTAAAATTATGTGTGTATATATATATATATGTATATATATATAAATATATATATATATATATATATATGCACACACACACACACACACACACCATGGTATTATATAATATAATATAATAATTTTCTAAATTGCATTTATTTTATTTGTTTTTTAGAATGATTGTGGGTTTTTTGAGAAAGTAAATTAAATGAATGACTTCGATTTCTATTTGAAACAAATATTTCTTAGTAATATTTGCCCATGTACACAAAATAAACAAACAGTTCTTTAGTATAAAAAATAAACAAGTGCATTGAGTATCCAGTCGCTGCAAAAAGATAATGGCGACAGTGTAAAAATAGCAGCCTGCACCAGTGGTTTTTGTTACAAGGAAATATTGACAACAAAACCATGAGAAAACAATACTCCACTTTCATTCTGTCAGAACTGACACACTGAACTTCAGCCTGATATCCTCATTTCAATCACTCAAAGACAAACTGTTGAATAATACATCCTAGTTTGAGTTAGAAAGTCCTGAAGGACCGATCAGAGTTTGCGTCGGTTCATTTTAAAATTCACTCATAATGTGAATATTGATGTAATATTGATATGTACCTTTCGAAAACAAACCGCAGTGCGATGAAACCCAGGGCCAAGGGCAGGGAGATGAGCGGGATAACGACTTCCATCCGCCGTCCCCTCAGCGATGTCTTTCCATGTAACGCCAGAAATCCTGCCGCCAAATCCACTGGTTCACAAGTTCCTCTAATCTAGACACCAAAGGAGAAAGTTAGAGAAGGCTACTATCTTATTACAGCAGATAAACCATCCATCTACAGATACAATTTGGTCTGCAGAAGATGGAACAACAAACTCTCATAATACATATATACAACATAATGACAAAATTGTACATTTTGGCTGAACTACTTTAAAATGACACACAGCACTCTGGACAGGTGAGTTAAAAAAAATGTTTTTTTAGAAATGTGTTTTCTAAACGCGAAGGGGTTAAAAGCCTCCGACGTCTTGACGCCACAGCGATTAGCGATCGCCGTTTTCAGGCTGAATATTTACAACAAATCAGATAAATTAACTAAAATCAGACTACAAGTATTGTAATTTTGAGTACTTCCTCCGTTATAAATACAGCACTCACAGGTGAATTTATTTCAAACATAAAATAGACAATATTACCAGAAACGTGTTTTCTTACAGGGTTAAACAGCCTACATGACGTCACGACTCCTCAAGATTATCGATCGCAGTTTTCAGGCCGAATATTTACAACACATCAAGCTAAATGGCAATAAAACTATGCATAGACGCCACATATTAGTCGTAAAACAAAATGTAAACAAACCAACTCTCTCATTGATCTAGAAAAGACGTCAACATTTTTTAATTATATCTATAAATTAATAGTTCAAACTTAATAATCATCTAAAGACAGAATTGTCCATTTTGACTTAATTAACTGCTGCTTTAAAATGTACATTTTGAGCTCTTGCTATGTGAGAAAGACAGCACTCTGTCAGGAGAGTTAAAAACAAACAAACAAAAAACGATTGTCATAAATGTGTTTTCTAAACTTTAATTTAAGCCAGCGAAAGGGTTAACAGGCCTGACGTAACAGCGATTGTTTTCAGGCAGAATCCAACAAATCAGACTAAATCGCAATAAAATTATGGATATGAATGCCACATATTAGCCGCACACCCTGTTGAAAAAACAGCATATGCTGGTTAGGTATGTTTTGACGCTGGGATGCTGGTTTAAGCTGGTCCTTTGCTGGTTTATGCAGCATACACCAGGGTTTAAGCTGGTCCTTTGCTGGTTTAAGCTGGTCCTTTGCTGGTTTAAGCTGGTCCTTTGCTGGTTTAAGGATTGTTTTCAGGCAGAATACAACAAATCAGACTAAATCGCAATAAAATTATGGATATGAATGCCACATATTAGCCGCACACCCTGTTGAAAAAAACAGCATATGCTGGTTAGGTATGTTTTGCTGGTTTTTTCAACAGGGAGGTGTTTAGAAGTTCTGCCAAGGAGAGGATTGTACGACCGTCCTGTCTTTCTAGCTCCTTGCAATGAATCTACTGTTTGCTTTCCAATCAGCAGGGATTTTAAATGGAAGAAAACAACTCTTATGTTTATTAATTGTTCTTCACTATCTCATCTCTTGACTAGTTTAGCATATTGTGAACAGCACACAAAAACACAATTTGCACGGGTCATTTCTTCTTGTCTATGTTCCATCTAAAGACAGTCCTGAAAATGCATCGCATGTGTTTTATTTGGCTTTTAAACATGCGTGTTTTCCCAGACCTAAATGCAATATATGTGGCTAAAAGCCAAAGTATGCATTACAAACATTGAAGATGCTTTAATGTTGTACATAATACTGTATGAGTTTCCATGATGACACCCATAATGCCAATCACTGCATGTTCTCAATGCTGTTCTAAACTTATATATCTGATTGATCAATGTAATTTAAATAAACCAGCCATAAACACTCTTGCAACTGCCTAGCAACCAGTCAAAACAGCCAAGAAATTACTTAGAACTCTCTGATTGTTAGACTTATTTGGTTTGTAAAAAACAAACAAAGAGACC